GGGGAGACCTTGGGCAGGACACACTCTCTCAGCCTCAGAGGATCGCAAAGGGCAAACCCCCTCTGAACAAATCTTGCCAGGATGGGCTGGCCTTAGGGTCACCATGCGCCGGCAAGGACTGGAAGGCCCACAATCCACCCATCCACTGGGACCTACCACTCATCAGCCCCACCCCCGTTCATCTCCCCGGTCTCTGATTGGCTCCCTGAGTTGGGAGCGCGGAATAAAAACCGCGGGCGCGCCTCTCCTTCATCCTTGATCGGCGTCCAGAGTCCATCATCCTCATCCTTGGTCCAAGAGGGCGCTCCGACTTCGCTGGTCCTCCGCCATGACCGGCCGGGAGGAGGCCTCGGAGGGCAAGGGGGGCGCCAAGGGGAAGGCCTTGGCCCCCAGCCCCAGCCCCAGCCCCAGCCCCGGGGGCAACCCCAAGGGCCGATTGGGGAGCCCCCTGGGCAACGGAGGAGGAGGGGGACCCCTGCGATCCACGAGGGGCTTCGCCATCACAGACCTCCTGGGCTTGGAAGCCGAGCTGCAACAAGCCCCAGCATCCTCCGCCATCCCGGCCTCAGGCTGCGAAGGGAGTGGGGCGGCAACGGGGCTAGCCAGTGGCGGCAGCCCCTTGCCCCTGGGTTTAGGGTTCCTGTGCGGTTTCGCCACGCAACAGCCCTCCGGGGCTCCTTGCCTTTTGCCGGCTCACATCCCCTTTTTGCAGCCCCGTCCGGAGCATCAGCACCACCAGACCCATCATCCCCATCACCACCACCACCACCACCACCATCATCCCCATCCCTATGGGCCCGGAGCCGAGAAGCACAAGGAGAACATCTCCGGTAAGACAGCCCAGCTTTTGTTTCTTTTCATTTCATTTTATGGCTTGATGGAAAGATTGTTTTATTAACATCAAGTTTTGGTTCATCATATATAGGCATTCCTGAAGTCATTCTTGAATGGTTAGTATGATTGTTTGTTTGTTTGTTTGTTTGTTTAATGCCTATGCCGCCTTTCTTTCAAAAAAGGGACCCAAGGCTGCGAACACAAGCTTTTTGGGGGACGTGCTAAAACAAATGACAGTACTGTACTTGCCCATAGGGAAACCATACTTGCCCATAGAGAATCATTGGAGAGTACTTGTCCATAGGGAAACATTGGAGAGGTTTCCTATGTTCCCCTATAAGCAAGTGCTGTATTTCCCCAATTATCCCTATGGGCAAGTATTCCCTAATGTTTCCCTATGGGCAAGTATTCTCCAGTGTATCTCTATGGGCAAGTATTCCCCAATGTTTCCCTATGGGAAAGCATTCCCTAATGTTTCCCTATGGGCAAGTATTCCCCAATGTTTCCCTATGGGCAAGTATTCCCCAATGTTTCCCTATGGGAAAGTATTCCCCAATGTTTCCCTATGGGCAAATGTTCTCCAGTGTATCTCTATGGGCAAGTATTCCCCAATGTTTCCCTATGGGCAAGTATTCCCTAATGTTTCCCTATGGGCAAATGTTCTCCAGTGTATCTCTATGGGAAAGTATTCCCTAATGTTTCCCTATGGGCAAGTATTCTCCAGTGTATCCCTATGGACAAGTATTCTGCAATGATTCTCTATGGGCAAATATGGTTTCCCTATGGGCAAGTACTGTCATTTATTTTAATATGTCCCACTTTTTTCTGGGTGTCGGATGGACCTTCCCATCCACATGCAACGAAGTCGGAGACTCTCATTATCTTATCCAAAGGGAGCATCGATACTGGTGTGTGTGTATGTGTATGGTTTGAGTGTTGAATTGTGACTCTGAAGACCAGGGTTCGAATCCTGGCTCGGCTATGGGAAACCCACGTGGGAAAATCAGACTCTCTCTCAGCCTCAGAGGATGGTAATGCAATGGAAAACCTTCCTCTGAAGAAACATGCCAAGAAAACCCCATGATAGGTTTGCTTAGGGTGGCCATAAGTCAAAAAGGACTTGAAGGCACACACCACACACACATACACACACAGTAGACACCACTTGAACTGCCATCCTAATAGGATCCTGGGATGTGTAGTTTTGGGTAGGCACCGGCTCTATATTGGAAGAGAAGGCAAAAGGCTCCGCTCTGGGGCCACAACAAGCTACAGTTCCCAGAATTCCATAGCATTGAGCCATGGCAGTTAAAGCAGTGTCAACCCAGATTATTTCTGCAGCATGGATGCAGCCTGAATGTTAGAAATAAAGGCCCTGAGGTCTTTTTCAGGTGCCTGGTATACATTGTTTATATTGACTTAAAGTGGTGCTCAAAGGGCATTACTTATCTGCAGTGTAGATGCACCCCAAGAATACATTAGGAAGTTTCTATGGCTCTTGCCAAACTTAGGAAAGTTACATTTTGGTAATGCCTAACTCCAGAAACTTTTCCCCAAAAGTAATTTCCCCAAGAGGTGTGTTGTAGCAAGAAGCATTTGTGAGGGATAAAGGCACTTTTAAGAGAAGCATCAAGTATGATTCAAAGATATAACCGTGTTATTCTGTAAAATCAGTATGTAGAGAGATCTTGTAGCACCTTAGAGACTAACTGAAAGAAAGAAGTTGGCAGCATGAACTTTTGTAGACTTAAGTCTACTTCCTAAGATGCATTTGGTCTTAAGTCTATAAAAACTCATGTTGCCAACTTCTTTCTTTCAGTTAGTCTCAAAGGTGCTACAAGATCCCTCTACATACTGATTCTACA